TCGACGTAAGAAGGTCACAAATATGCATTTACAAAGTGTTTGGGTCAATAATAAGGACCAAATCGTAGGCTGAAGATCGTGAACGCTCAAAAAACGCTTAAAATGCGCCATAAATGTCTATTATTTCTGATCTGAAACTTCTAGAAATCACCATCGGTGTCGCTGTGTGAACACCTGAAAACCACTGTGTTACCCACCCAGGCCTATTCTGAAATGTCGGCTGCAAGTGAGGTTCAATGCAACACCTGCCGATCGCATAAATAAATATGTGCAACAATAACTCGACTAATGGGAGCGACAAAGTGGGCCACTGGTTCGACATAAACACGGTGTTTGAAACCGTCAAATCAATGTGCATGTATATCGACCAGATCGGGGTAATTTGACCGTTAAACAGCAATATCATCAAACAGATGACGGCGATCAGAGTGGAAATCGAAACAACTGGAGCGAGCTTCCCACATCGAGGATGGAAAGAAAACGAAATGGAAAAATCAATAATCGAATTATTGCGGAGAAAAACACAGTTTGACCGGTTAGGAAATTAGCGTCCACGTGTTAGCAGCCATGGTACTGTTGTCATAACAAAATGCAGAAATTACAAGAACAAACTGAAAAATCCGGCTTTTTATTGACTCGCGTCTCCGCGCCATATTTGATCAAGTTGTGCAAACAACAGCCGGAGAAATCATCTTCGGGTTAAATGGATGTCCTCGAGCTATGGGACATCGACAATTGGCCGACTTCAGCTGTTTCCGATGCGATTTTCCCTCGTACACTCAATCATTCCAAGCATCCCTTGAACCATGAAACGCTTTGCGTTAGTTTGGGGCTCGAACCTGGCATGCAAAAAATGAAAATCATCAACAAATTGTTGAGTATTTCGAACTTTTCCGCGCGATTTGATTTTTCGAATAATTGCCAGATCCGAGTGGCGATTAAACCGCCACGGTTCGAGAAGAACGCGTCCCGTTATCCGCGTATAATAATCGATGGTATCATCACATATTCCTGTTACAAAATGCACGTACGGCACCCATAAGTTGCCGCAAAAATTACACCTTCCGATATGATTTGCTCGGCCGGACCGAGCCCGTTTCGATGTAACGAACTGGCCAGCAGGATTTCGCTTAAAATGTCATTTTTCAATGCAAAACATCCACATTAACCTAGTTGCGTACTAGTCACTAACTAATGCCTGAAACGCTTGATCGTAAGTGTTACGGCCGCTACCTAATGTCAAAGCAATAATTATTAAGCCAATAAGATTGATCAGATATCGGTTTTATGGGGCGATTTTTCCATAAAACCTAACGGTCCTGGTTGGCAGTGAAACTTTTTGCGGACCAATTGCAACAGCCGTGTCATATTTTGCAAGTTCGCATTGAGAAAGCGCCTAATCGAACA